CCCCTGATGGTGGGGATGGACTTGAAGCAGACCAGGACCAGGTCACGACCCCTGAGTGACACCAACCATGGCAAAGGCAACCGCCAATGGCATGTAGTGGGTAGGAGCCAGATGTGAAGAGGTGTGACGTGGTCAGGCAAGCGGGTAGGTAACAGCGAGGCAGACGATACAGATCGGTAGACAAAGAGTAATCGGGTTACAAGTGGGGTTTGGTAACAGCAGGTCAGACAAAAGGAGCAGGCAGAGGATGGTCAGGGCGAGCCAAAGGTCAGGGCAGGAGAAGACAGCAGTATCAGGTCCAGGCAGGGTCAGCAACAAGGCAATCAGCATACAGGGAGAGCAGGAACAGGGGAAACCATCAGGTAACTTGTGTCTGTGCAGAGCTGGTTTAAGTAGCCCGCCCGGCGCTGACAGGCGCGCCTGGGTCCTAGTGCCTGCCCAGCGCCGTCATAGGTGACAGGCGCGCCTGGGTCCTAGTGCCCGCCTGCCTGCATGTCTTGTCGGACACCTACGCATGTGCAGACTCATGCGTCGCGGTGGTCCCTGACAGTACCTATCCTGCTGGTTTATGGTAAGCCTTACACTGCTATATCAACTGGTCTCTGAACCCGATCCAGACCGTGACAGTGGATCTGTGTTCGGACAGGGAAGCGGGAGTCTAACGGAAATACCCAGTGCAGTCGGGGTCCGGTTCCGTTACAGCCCTTCGCTACACTAAGATCTAAAGGAGATTGTAAAGTCAGATTGTCGAGCGCACGGTCAGCCTTAGGTTGGAGAAATGAAATATTGCTACTTAGCGAGAAGGATAAAAGAGAAGGTGAGATCACATCAGGCAGGAAAGGTTCTCTGAATCAATTTAAAAAATAAGGTAACAAGTTAAAAATTTTCCATAAGCCGCAAAAAACGTCCAATTCTCCGGATGTCACCGACGGAGGTCACATTCATTAAAGTCCCTTTTATCGGTCTGGTATAGAATCCATTCAACGCCTTTAATGAGATATGTCGTTTGTGGTGTCAGGGCCGGACATTTAGCTCAAACTCGCAGGTGTCAGTGACCGCTTTGTCAGAGGTTCAGCCGCGCCGTCTTCTTATTGAGATATTTCCTTCAATCTAATCCGCTCTCCCCGGATTCCAACCTTTCAATGGCGTTATTAATAAATATTTAACAGTGTGAAAAAAAAAAAACGTGTAGTAAGTCTCCCGAGAAGCTGCTGAAAATTAATTTGGACCGGAGGGCAGAAATGGAGCTCGCTAACACGATACATCATCGGGGTCCATCACACCTGGAGTTTGTACGGCGCGGACGATGCGTTCAAAAGAAAACCTCCATTTATGCAGCTTCTGCTAATGAAATTGGCCGACCTCATCGCAGGCTATCCCCTCTTCATAATAAAATATCATGCAAACGATGATGTCATATTTAGAATAAATGTTGATGATGTATAAAGTGCAGGGGGTGCCAACATAAATGACAAATCAATCAGCACAAATAAAGTGACCCCAGCATAAATGTGCATATATCAGCACAGGTAAAGGATAAAGTGACAATGGTGCAAATATACATCCAATAAAGTGACAAAAGTGCTTGAAAGTGATAAAGTCTGTATGTCAATAAACGTGAGACTTTAACCACTTCCAGTCCGGACACTTTCACCCCCTTCCAGTCCGGACACTTTCACCCCCTTCCAGTCCGGACACTTTCACCCCCTTCCAGTCCGGACACTTTTACCCCCTTCCAGTCCGGACACTTTTACCCCCCCTTCCAGTCCGGACACTTTCCCCCCCTTCCAGTCTGGGACACTTTCACCCCCTTCCAGTCCAGACACTTTCACCCACTTCCAGTCCGGACACTTTCACCCCCTTCCAGTCCGGACACTTTCACCCCCCTTCCAGTCCGGACACTTTCCCCCCCTTCCAGTCCGGACACTTTCACCCCCTTCCAGTCCGGACACTTTCCCCCCCTTCCAGTCCGGACACTTTCACCCCCCTTCCAGTCCGGACACTTTCACCCCCTTCCAGTCCGGACACTTTCCCCCCTTGCAGTCTGGACGCTTTCACCCCCTTCCAGTCCGGACACTTTCACCCCCTCCCAGTCCGGACACTTTCACCCCCTTCCAGTCCGGACACTTTCCCCCCCTTCCAGTCCGGACACTTTCACCCCCCCTTCCAGTCCGGACACTTTCACCCCCTTCCAGTCCGGACACTTTTACCCCCTTCCAGTCCGGACACTTTCACCCCCTTCCAGTCCGGACACTTTCACCCCCTTCCTGTCCGGACACTTTCACCCCCTTCCAGTCCGGACACTTTCACCCCCTTCCAGTCCGGACACTTTCACCCCCTTCCAGTCCGGACACTTTCACCCCCCTTCCAGTCCGGACACTTTCACCCCCTTCCAGTCTGGACACTTTTACCCCCTTCCAGTCCGGACACTTTCACCCCCTTCCAGTCCGGACACTTTCACCCCTTCCAGTCCGGACACTTTCACCCCCTTCCAGTCCGGACACTTTCACCCCCTTCCTGTCCAGGGCAATTTTCAGCTTTCAGCGCTGTCACACTTTGAGTGACAATTGCGCAGTCATGCAATACTGTACCAATATGAACTTTTTACCATTTTTTTGAGACAGATAAAGCTTTATTTTGGTGGTATTTATTCACAACTGGGATTTTTATTTTTTTACTATGTAAATGAAAAAGTCAAAAAAATTTTTAATAAAATTTTGCAAATAAATAATATTTCATCATAAATCTTGGCCAAAATTTATTCCGTTATTTTTTAGTAAAAAAAAAAATCCAAATTAGTTTATAACCAAAAATTATAATATGATAAACATTTTTTTTTACATTTTTATTTTATTTTTTTTTATATTAATATTTTTTATTTTATTTTTTTTTACATACTGTCACCCTAGCAGTACAGTGTCACCATGGTGACACTGTACTACTTGTGGGGGGTGATGAAGATTTTTTTTTTTTTTTTTACACTGATTGCTTTTACACCCATATAGGATGTAAAAGCAATCATTTCTCTTTCTCTCTGGCTGCATTCTTGCAGTCATTGAGAAATACTGATTGAGCTGTGATTGGTCCCAGCTTTTCACATGGTACAAGGCTGTTGTGAATAGCCCTGTACCATGTGACCTCTGTGATCATTCACAGATTTCACACGTAGTAAGCAATGATGTCACAAGTGACATCTTGCTTACTACTTTGCATGTGATCACTGATTCGCCAATCAGTGATCACATGATCGGGACCTCGTACAGAGGTCCCGTCCGACGATCGGTGTTTCACTGTGTCCGGAGGACACAGCGGTCACCGGATCGCGGTGGTGCGCTCTCCTAGGGAGCGCGCACAGCTAGAGAAGGTGGGTGCCGTTTAGGAACGGCAACCCGACCCTGGACTGCCACCGCCCTGCCGTTTATAACAGCAGGCGGACGGCAAGAGGTTAACCATTTTCCGCCCGCCCTATGGCCGAATGGCGGCTGGCAAATGTCATCAGCGTTCCGGGTGGACGCCATATATAGGGTTTATATTGCGGGGTTTTTTTTTACTTTTTTAAAGTGTATTTTTTCTAAAAAATTGCAACAACCGTCATTAAATTCTCTAGGGAGTTCACTAAAAAATAATATATAATGTTTAAGGTTCTAAGTAATTTTCTAGCAAAAAAAAAAACACTTGCATGACCGTACAATTGCCAGTTAACCATTAGCCACCTGGCCAATGGCCATTTGGCGGCTGGCAAAATTCTGCGTTCCGGGTGGATGCCATATGGCGTCCTCCCGGGCATGCGCAGATTGCGCTCCTGCAGAGCCGTGCGGCGGTGCGATCTGTCACCGGCCGTGTACCTCGGACACGGCCGATGACAGATCTGAGTATCGGCCCCCGTTGCCGGTACCATGCGACCTGCTGTGACCAATCACAGCAGGTCACATGACAGTTGTATACAATGGATGGCTTCATTCATACCATCCATTGTATACAAGTGTCTAGCTGTGAATGGTCACAGCGATCACATGCACATGTCATGTGATTAGCTGTGGCCAAATCACAGCTAAGCACAAAAAAAAAAAAAAGCCCTGAATGAATCGATGTCATTCAGGTAAATGCTTGCTTATAGCAAAGAAATCCGTCTTCCAGGTTCCGTTCCCTGCGACGTCGGGACTTACGGGGGACAGAACTGGCGGGAAATTTGAAAATTTTAAAAAGTGACATTCACAAAATAAACAAAAATCACATAGTATAACATTCCTGTATCAAACCATTTCACATACATTTTGTCCCGAGTGCTTTGTCCAGCGCCCTGCCTGCATTTTTACTGTTCTTTCTGCTTGGAAACTTAGAAACGTCCATGGTGTCCAAAAAGCGTCCCTTTAGGTCAGACGCGGTTTTAGACCGGCTAGAGAACAGCGATAGTAAATCAGAACCACTTGCAGAATTGAGTGATAATGATTGGTGGGGGAAATTCCTCATCAGACACTGAAAACGATTCTGCGACTTTGCTCAGCAATGTGCGAACTTGGCGCTCTATTTCACATTTCAGTGTTTTTGGTTTGATTATATTATTGAATTCAATTTATTATTATTATATTATTATTTTTTATGATTATTTATTATATTATAATTTATGATTTTGTGTTTCAAGTTTTATCATCCCCGGGATGTTTACTAGACTCTTGTTCGGACAGATTTCAGTGAGTTATTCCTAAAAATTACAGGCCTACAATAAAAAAACAACATATTTCCATGCAAAAAAATGTACCGCTTTGAGCACAGAAATACTGACATCATCAGACCGCTAGGGAGGTTACCCAAAATGTTAAAACAAAAAGTATTTTTTGGTGACTTGATGGGAAATATTTCTATCATCTCCCAATGCAGTAGTTAAACGACTGATTTTTTTTTTTTCCTAATTTAGTTTTTATTGGGTTTTAAAAGGCATACAACAGCCAAAAAGTTGCATAGAGTTTGTAGTCGCAAATCAACAGAAGAGAAAGAAAACAGGATTCATTGATGAAATGTATATACATAAAATGTCAGTGCATAACAGTGGTTTAGCTACCAACATGAGACATCTGGGTAGACACCAGGGGCGGACTGACCATTTGGAAACTCGGGCAATGCCCGAGGGCCCGGGGTCAGTACGGGGCCCCATGAGATGCCCCTGGTACCTTTTTCATAGACTTTTTTGAGTTTGGGCAAGGACACAGGGGCCCCATGATCCCCTATTGCCCGGGGGCCCCATGAGGGTGTCAGTCCTCTCCTGGCCTGGTCTGATGAATTGAAGAATGATTTGAGGAACATGAGTTAAAGGTGTTGACTTGGCCTCCAATTTCTACAGTTTTCAATCGTATTAAGCATCTATAGGTGCTGTAAAAAACAAGTCCGATCCATGGAGGCCCCACCTAGAAACTTTCAGGATTTAAAGGATCTGCTACTGGAAGCTTGGGGCCAGAAACCACAGCTCCCAGTTTCGGCTTCAGTGTAGAGGAGGGACCAGGGGCGGACTGACCATTTGGAAACTCGGGCACTGCCCTAGGGCCCGGGGTCAGTAGGGGGCCCCATGAGATGCCCCTGGTACCTTTTTCATAGGCTTTTTTGAGTTTGGGCAAGGACACCGGGGCCCCATGATCCCCTATTGCCCGGGGGCCCCATGAGTTGTCAGTCCGCCCCTGGTAGACACATCAGAAATGTAAAGGTCCCATGGTTCCCACACTGCTTCAAAGAAAGGGACAAGACCGGCATGCGTAGCAGCGAGGTACTCCATTCTTCTAATCTCAGCAACAACTCTAACCAATTCCATTCGCGTAGAAGGCGTAGAGGAAAGCCAATACATGGGAATGGTTCTCCTGGCCGCTGTTTGGACATGAGAAGATAGTTTCTTGGCAGGTTTAGAGAGGCCTGGGAAAGGCAGACCCAGTAAAAAGTAGATGGGGTCAAATGGAATGCGGACCCTTAAGAGTAGCTGCAAAAGACTGAGGACCTCTCTCCAGAAAAGAGCAATATAGTGGCAAATAAAGGAATGCGCTAAATATTATATGAAACACCCCAAAAAAAAATGTATATATAAAATATAAAAGTCTCCTAGATTGTAAGCTCCAAGAGCAGGGCCCTCGATCCCCTCATGTTCTGCATTGTATTGGTATTGTTCTGTCACATGTTCTGTCCCCCTTTGTAATGTACAGCGCTGAGCGAACTATCGGCGCTTTATAAATACTGTATAATAATAATGATATAAATACAAATAATAATGTCCGTGATTGTAAAAAGTCCATCTACCATCACAAGAGATAATTGATTCTGCAATCTTGTATAAATCAACTAAAAAACACCGTGCAAAGAAATCCACCACCGAATAAAATGGGTAAACTCACCAGAGCTATATGCTGATCAAATTATAAATCAGCAAAACAGCATTTGCTCTGGGAGCGATGATCTGCAGAAGTATCCGAAGCAGGGAGCAATATACTGCAAGTAGCCAATCAACACAATATGGAACAGCCTAGGCAGCAGGTAATCCTCATGTCTCCATAATCATAGGTAATGCTCGGGGAATCAGAGAAGAATATAATGGTGCAGTATGTGTAAAACAAGTGTGCTTTATTAAAAAACATCAGATGTAAACTCACAAACAAGGTGTCCAGCCGACACCAGCATTGACAGCCTCGAGAAAGCAGGGATGAGCCTCGCTCACCGCGAACCCACAGCCGACAGTCTCGAGGAGCGTCCCGACGTCACATCCACTAAGCCCCACCCTACGCGTTTCGTCACCCGACGTCGTCACAGGGCGGAATGGATGACAGACGTCTGTTCTCACCATATATCCTTATATATGCAGTATATTGCTCCCTGCTTCGGATACTTCTGCAGATCATCGCTCCCAGAGCAAATGCTATTTTGCTGATTTATAATTTGATCAGCATATACCTCTGGTGAGTTTACCCATTTTATTCGGTGGTGGATTTCTTTGCACGGTGTTTTTTTGATTGATTTATAGAAGATTGCAGAATCAATTATCACTTGTGATGGTGGATGGACTTTTTACAATCACGGACATTATTTGCATTTATATCACATATTTTCTTTATATATACATTTTTTTTTTTTTGGTGTTCATATAATATTTAGCGCATTTCTTTATTTATTTTATATTACGTACCTTTTCTTTGGTTAGGAGTGCTGCTCTTGCTCTATGTAGATTGGTGGCGCTGTTTCTATTTATACTTATATTATAAGTATATTTATACTTATAATATATTTATACACTTATAATATAGTGGCAAAGCCAAAAAAATGTGGAAACGAGTGGTTGTTTCCTCACCACATCGCCAGCAGGCAGGAGAAACACTCGAATTGTGGGCATGAAGAACCTCAGGAGTCTTCTGCCAGAACATCAAAATGTTGTAAGTATTTTCTTTATATACCACACATATAGAAGATTTAGAGGCAGATTCCCAAAATCCTGCTCCATTGGTCTAAGGTAATATCCCGATGAAGGATTCGGGGCCACTTTTGCATATAATAAATGACTGATTTTGGGAGAGGTTCCCTCACTTAGGCCACTTGATAAACAAATATTTTTCAAATATTATGAATTTCCTCCAATCCCTGAGGGAAATCCTGAGGGAAATCCCAGAGCAACCCCCACGTTCTTTACTCAACGTGAATTCGCTTTATCATCCCTTGTTCCCATCCAGGATCATCATTCATGAAGAGTTTCTGAAGTTTTTCATTTGCATTGTACAGTTTGGAGAGACTGTGAGCTAGAAGTACGTTCCATGCATATATCATGGTAATAAAAAAAAGTTGCCAAAAATATTCATGTATTTGTTTTTCACGTTTTCTGGGACTTTTTGGTCATATCTTTCATCAGTGTTTTTCAGATCAGGTGCTACAGCACCTGTGGGGTGCCATTTAGGTTCCCCCAGATTGTATGAACATTGGTCCTGAATCAGCCCCATGAGTTGGGATGGTGCAGGCGAAATGGCCACCAGAGCCAGAACAACCAGTGATGCTAAAGAACCAGGATAAAGTGTCATTTGTTGCCATGGTAACCACAGCCAACTCACCTGCACCATGTTAATGCATGACTCCGATCCAAGGCAGGCAGCAGCAGGGCCCCCCAGCATTCAGTATAAACATAGATGTGCACCTCCTCCAAACCTTCTACACCTCTGAGTGTGATTGGGGGGGGGGGGAGGGGGGCTCTGTGATGGGAGACTGTATGACTGGGGGGGGGGAGCTCTGTGATGGGAGACTGTATGACTGGGTGGGGGGGGGGGGGGAGCTCTGTGATGGGAGACTGTGTGACTGAAGGGCTCTGTGATGGGTGGACTGTTTCATTTGGGGGGCTCTGTGATAGGGGGACTCTCATGTGATGGGACTCTCATGTATTGGGGGCCTGTGACTTATGGGGGATCTGATGTTATGGGGGGCCTTGAATGTGAAGAGAGGACTCTTACATGAAGAGGTGACTCTGATGTAAATGGCGGACCTCTGATGTGATGGGGGAACCTCTAATGTGAAGAAATGCTCTGATGTGATGGGGCTTCTGATGTGAAGAGGGACCCTGGTGTGACCGGGGGACCTTTGATGTAATGGGGAGCCTCTGATTGGAAGAGGGGCCCTAATGTGATGGGAGAACTAAGATTTAAAGGGGGCTCTGATGTGATTGAAAGACTTCTGATGTGATGGAGGAACCTCTGATGTGATGGGGGCTTCTGATGTGAAGGGGGACTTTGATGTGATTTGGGGACCTTTGATGTAATGGGGGAACCTCTGATGTGATTAAGGGGCTTCTGATGTGAAGGAGGGCTCTGATGTGAAGAAGGTTTCCAATGTGAAGGGGGCCCTAATGTGACGGGGGACCTTTGATGTAATGGGAGAACCTCTGATGTGAAGAGGGTCTCTAATGTGATGGGAGCATTTTGATGTGTGTTTGTCTGTGGGGGGACCTCTGATGTGATTGATGTGGGGGACCTCTGACCTCTGATGTGATGGGAGGACCTCTGATGTGATGTGGGGGACCTCTGATGTGATTGGGGGACCTCTGATGTGATGGGGGAACCTCTGATGTGAAGGAGGGCTCCAAGGGCGGACTGACCATTTGGAAACTCGGGCACTGCCCAAGGGCCCGGGGTCAGTAGGGGGCCCCATGAGATGCCCCTGGTACCTTTTTCATAGGCTTTTTTGAGTTTGGGCAAGGACACAGGGGGCCCCACGATCCCCTATTGCCCGGGGGGCCCATAAGTTGTCAGTCTGTCCCTGGAGGGCTCTGATATGATGGGAGCATTCTGATGTTATGGGGGCACTCATATGATTGGAGATCTGTTGATGTGATGGGGGGACCTCTGATGTGATGGAGGGCTTTGATGTGAAGGGGAACTCTGATATGAATGTGGGACCTTTGATATAATGGGGGAGCCTCTGATGAAAAGGGGGGCTCTGATGTGATGGGGAGGACTTCTCATGTGAAGGAGGGTTTGATATGATTGGGGGACTTCTCATGTGAAGGGGGGTTTTATATGATTGGGGGACTTCTTACATGGAGAGGGGACCCTGATGTGATGGGGAAACCTCTAATGTGAAGGGGGGTTTCTAAAGTGATGGGGGGGCTTTGATATTAAAAGGGGACTCTGATGTGCAGGGGTGCTCTGATATGATGGGGGGACTTCTGATGCAGGGGCGGACTGACCATTTGGAAACTCTGGCACTGCCCGCGGGCCCAGGGTTAGTAGGGGGCCCCATGAGATGCCCCTGGTACCTTTTTCATAGGCTTTTTTGAGTTTGGGCAAGGACGCAGGGGCCCCATGATCCCCTATTGCCCGGGGGCCACATGAGTTGTCAGTCCGCCGCTGTTCTGATGTGATGCTGTGGGGGGGGTTCTTTTTTCATGGCAGTTTTGTGTCTCAGATTTCTCATTGATAAGTAACATTTTTTTAGACTTTTGACTGGGGGACTCAAGATTTTGAATACTTTTAAAGGGTAAAAGGTACAAAGAGGAAGATGTTGGATTGAAGACGTTCCCTGTAAACCAAAAATCAAAGCAAAACAGAATATCAAGATTTCATGAACAAAAATCAGACAAAACCCACAAAAACTTTGTTAAACCTAAACTGAGACGAGCAATCATTTTTAAATCAAGCCTTTCTTAGTTCCTTCTCTGTAAAGTTTTATCCAACCCCCATTGTGCTGTCCTATCGACAATGCAAAGTAGATCCAATTCATCCCATATACTTGACCTTTATGGAAGTTTGCTACATTGTGTTCTACGGAGATATATTTATTTACTTCAAACTTTAAACGATTTCAATATCCCTGTAAAACACAAAAATAAATAAAATGACTGCCTTTTAAAAACGTGGAAGCTCAAGGTTTTAGATTTTCTTTATCAACTTTTTGCACACCTTCTACCTACAACCAGAAACGTTTTTGTTAAGTTGTCTTTGTGTAGAAAAGGACTTCGTTACAAAGGAATTACTGAAGTATACACAAATGGAAAAAAAAAAAAGAGACCCTTTGAAATGGAGTCTTCTCTTCAAAGAAGCTCACTTGGGAACTTTTAAAACTCTTAAACTCTTCAAACTCTTGTACTTTTCTTCTAGTATTGGTTATTTAGAACTCTTTATTACCATCCGTTGTTCATTTGTCCAGCCTTGCTCCTTTTCTGTTGTTGTTTGTCCTGACCTTCCTTCAGGAGTCATGGTTTTCTCAAGGGTTGAAAAGTATCATGACGGATCTTTGTGATAATCATAGGTTGGTATTGTGTGTGCTCAGGTCACTGACAATAGAAAAGTTTATAGAGCACTTTGTGATTTCACAGTGCGGGTCTCCATACATGTCTTTACAAGCCAATGGAAGAGAGGGAGAGGAGAGGCAGGGGGAGAGAATGGTATGAAAAGAAGAGAAGAGGAAGAGAAGAGGAAGAGAAGGGGAAGAGAAGGGGAAGAGGAAGAGAGGAGAAGTGGAACAGGAAGAAGGGGAGGAAGAGGAGAGGCAGGGGGAGAGAAGGGAAGGAAAAGGTGAGGAGGGGATGGGAAAAGAGGAGAGGAGAATGGAGAGGAGAGTTCTGAAAAAGATAGCAGAAGATTGGAAATGGAATGAGAGGGGGAAGGAAGGAAGTAAAGGCAGGAATAGAGTGGAGAGAAGAAGGGAGGTAAAGTAAATGATAGAAGAAGAGATGGGGGAAGAGAACAAATGAGGAGAAGGTAAATTCTTGGATGTGTACAGAGGAGAGCCTGATACAAAAGTTTATTTTACTTAAAAGTCTTTTAAAACATTTACTGGTTAAGAGCCTCAAATGCAGCCAAACGTGTTTGTGAGAAAAAGGCCTCCTCTTTCTTTGGGGCTTAAGTAGTCAATGTTAATAAAATAATAACCGAATACAGATGAGGAGAAAGAGAAGGGGAAGAGGAAGAGAAGTAGAAGTGAAGGAAAAGATGAAGAGGAAGTGAAGGGGATGAGAAGAGAAGAGGAAGAGAGGAGAAGTGGAACAGGAAGAAGGGGAGGAAGAGGAGAGGCAGGGGAGGAGAAGACAAGAGTGAGGAGGGGATGGGAAAAGAGGAGAATGGAGAGGAGAGTTATGAAAAAGATAGCAGAAAATTGGAAATGGAATGAGAGGGGGAGGAAGGAAAGGACAGGAATAAAGTGGAGAGAAGAAGAAGGTTAGGGAAAGTAGATGATAGAAGAAGAGATGGGGGAAGAGGACAGATGAGAACATTTAATGGTTAAGAGCATCAAATGCAGCCAAACGTGTTTGTGAGAAAAAGGCCTTCTCTTTCTTTGGGGCTTAAGTAGTCAATGTTAAAAGAATCAAAACCGAATAGATGAGGAGGTAGAGAAGGGGAAGAGGAAGTGAAGGGGAAGAGGAAGTGAAGGGGATGAGAAGATGAGAAGTGAAGAGGAAGATAAGAGAATGGAAATAGGAAGAGAGGGGGACAAGGAAGATAGGGGGAAGAAAGAGAAGAGAAGAGGAAGAGAATGGGAAGAGGAAGAAAAGGGGAAGATAAAGAGAAGAGAATGGGGAAGAGAGGGGGAGAGAAATTGAAGAGGAAGAAAGGAGAAGTGGAACAGAATGGAGAAGAGCAAGAGAAGGGGGAGAGGAAGAGAAGGAAAATAGGAAGTGACGAGGAAGAGAAGGGGGAGAGGAAGAGAAGGGAAGAGGGGGAGGAAGAGGATGAGCGGGAGAAGAGGAAGAGAGGGGGGGGGGGAGGAAGAGAAGGGGAAGAGAAAAGAAGAAGAGGGAAGAGGAAAGAGGGAAGAGAAGAGGAAATAAAGGTTAATTAAGGGGGGATAAAAGACTAGAGGGGGGGAAGTGGAGATGAGATGAGCCGAGGAGAGTGTTAGGAGAGAGGATGTGAGAAGAAGGGAAAGGGAGAAGGAAGAGAGGGAGGAGAGAAGGGAGAGGATCAGATAAGAGGTAATGGTAGAAGATGGAAGAAGAGGAGAAAGTATGTGAATGGAGGGGTGGGGAGGAGAGAAGAAGGCAGAGGAGAGGTGGGTTGAATAAGAGAAGAGACATTTGTTAAAGATATAATTAAAAGCTAAAATATCTTTTTTTAAACTATTTCCAGTGACTGTTCTCCAAATACCTTTAGGAAAGAGTAGAGACGTACCTGCAGAAAACTTCACAGTCGTATATCAATAAGCTATCTTTTCATCATGCTTTTACAGGAATGAGATTGATATTGTTAAGGCTGTCATTGAAAGGGTCGCATTGATTTTTTTACTAGGTTGCTTTTTGTCAAAAATCAAATTGATGTGTAAATTCTTGAGCCTGGACTGATGCGTATTCGATAGTCTTCACATTAACCTGCTCAAAATGAAGTGTACGTCTGTAACGCAGATTCATGAGGGCTTCCTTGTAACATCTCACTCTGCTGGATGTACAAAGTCTATAGATGTCTCTCTTCATAAGCGGGTAATACGGAGACCGTAATGATTCTTTAGCGCATCAGGTTTATTATTCGCTGGGCCTGTAAACAGCTTTTATAAAATATAAATTGGAGATGATCTTGTCCTCCATCGCACAGCCAGAACTGCGCTTCTAGGCACGAATGTATTTTCTCCTCCTGGAATGAAGGTCACTCGCTAAGTTTGGTATCCCATTATAAGTGACAAGCTGCATTTCTTTTAACCTTTTCAGTACTGGCTCTAGATGCAATAATCTTTAAGTCCAAATGAACGTTCAGTTTAAAGGGGAGCTCCAGGAATAACGTGACGTAGCAGATTCACTGAGGGCCAGACTGGCTAAATCCAAACCTTTAAATGCCATAACTGTATGACCTGCTGGGGATGTCGAAACCCACAATCCTGAAGTAGCATTCCCTACATACAGTAAGCCGCTTTGTCTTCCGAACAAGAAGACAAAACTTAACTCTTCTTTGAAAAACAAAAGTATGTTGGGTGCTCCTGTCCAGGGGCGGACTGACAACTCATGGGGCCCCCGGGAAATAGGGGGTCATGGGGCCCCTGTGTCCTTGCCCAAACTCAAGAGAGCCTATGAAAAAGGTACCAGGGGCATCTTATGGGGCCCCCTACTGACCCCGGGCCCTCAGGCAGTGCCCGAGTTTCCAAATGGTCAGTCCACCCCTGCTCCTGTCCTTTCACCACTCAGGAACTGCCTTGTACTTTGTCAATTAATATTAGGCAGGCTTTGATTGGCCAAGAGGGACATTGTTATGTCATGCGCATGTAGGCAGGTGAAGTCTGATTTCTCCACTGTAGATGGTCCTCGACTGGAGCAGTACCACAGCTGGAGGGGAAGTCAAGAGAAACTTGGTTTCACTATGGTTCCCTTGGCCCACTGGAGCAGAATTCCAGTTGGCTATGCTGCATCGAGGTGACCCTGGTGGCCATCTTGTGTCACACGGAGTCTTTTTAAGTCCTTGCCACTAGGTTTTGCATGCATTTGAAAAGTGGCTATTGTAGGGTGAGTATACTTGTCAGGGACAGCACTAAAAGTATGGAAAGGTTCCGGAGGGAAAGCACAGGGACTATGCCTAAACTTCCGCAAACTCCCTCTTGGGTTGGACTGGCCAGGCCACATTTGACCTCCCTTGGGAAGTCTTCATCTTGGACTTACTACCACTGGCTCTCTGCTGCACCGACTGCAAGTTTCTGGCTGGATATGCTTCCCCGCCGGGATGTTGTACTGATGCAAGTTCTTCAATACCTCCGTTACTGCACTTTGGGCCTCTGTGCTACTACTGCCGCTGCACCACACTGCACCTATCCATCACACCCCTCCACTCCACCTTGGCCAATATACACTGTTCAGGAATTAGTTACTAGTTACTACTATTTATCCTCTAAGCTCCTCCTGTGCAGGGGCGGACTGACAACTCATGGGGCCCCCAGGCAATAGGGGATCATGGGGCCCCTGTGTCCTTGCCCAAACTCAAAAAAGCCTATGAAAAAGGTACCAGGGGCATCTCATGGGGCCCCCTACTGACCCCGGGCCCTCGGGCAGTGCCCGAGTTTCCAAATGGTCAGTCCACCCCTGCTCCTGTGCTTTTGATGTCAGCTCTTCCGGACTGGAGACTACATGGGGGTACAACATCAGTGTCAGCAGCAACCTCTCCAACCCTTAATAATATAGTATGACTAGAAACATATTATGCCCCCAACAGGAGATAACTATGAACAGGCATTATAATAGAACTTCAATTTTACAACCATATAATATCATAAAATATAACCTTAATTCCAAAAATAGTTGGGACGCTGTGAAAAATCTACATAAAACAGAATGCAATGATATGCAAATCTCATAAACCCACATTTAATTCACAATAGAAAACATATTAAATGTTTAACCACTTGCCCTCCTGAGGATTTACCCCCCTTAATGACCACGCCACTTTTTGCTACTCGGCGCTGCACTAATTCAACTGATAATTGCGCGGTCATGCAATGCTGCACCCAAACAAAATTCACGTCCTTCTTTTCACACAAATAGAGCTTTCTTTCGGTGGTATTTGATCACCTGTGCGCTTTTTATTTTTCACGCTATAAACAAAAAAAGACCAAAAATTTGGAAGAAAAACAATATTTTTTACTTTCAGCTATAAAAAATATATAGTAAACTCAAAGTTGGTTATAAATTTAGGCCAAAATGTATTCTGCTCCATGTTTTTGGTTAAAAAAATCCCAATAAGTGTATATTGATTGCTTTGTGTGAAAGTTACGTCTACAAACTATGGTATAAATACTGCAATTTACGCCATTTTTTTGCTATACAGCACTGCGCTAGTTTAACGAACAATTGCGCGGTCATGCAATATTGTACATAAATGAAATTTACATCCTTTTTATTTTTCCCCCACAAATTGAGCTTTTTTTCGGTGGTATTTGATCGCCTGTGTGTTTTTATTTTTTGCGCTATAAAAAAAAAAAAAAAGGCTGACAATTTTGAGGAAAAAAAAAACAATATTTTGGACTTTTTGCTATAAAACATGTCCAGTAAAAAAAAATTGAAAAATCAAACTTAGTCATAAATTTCTGCCAAAATGCATTCTTCATGTCTTTGCTAAAAAAAACCCAATACGTGTAAATTAATTGGTTTACGTGAAAGTTATAGCGTTTACAAATGGTGGGAAAGAAACTGGGATTTTTAATTTTTTTTTATACTAATAATGGCGGCGATCAGTGACTTATGGCGGCGATCAGCGACTTATGGCGGGACTGCGGGACTACGGCAGACATTCTGACACTGGGGGGGAACTGACTTGGGGTCACTGACATCCCCAGTGATACCAATACAGTGATCAGTGCAAAAAAAAAAAACACTGACACTGTACTAATGGCACTGGGGAGGAAGGGGTTAACTTTATTATTCACTGAAAGGGTTAACTGTGTGAGGGGAGTGTTTTACTAGGGGGCGGGGGTGTGTACTGCACGGAGACACACTGATCCGGACAGATTCTTCTGTCCGGATCAGCGTGTCAGGAGCTGTCAGGGAACTGACAGAAAGCACAGCTACTGCAGCTGTGCTCTCTGTCAGTGATTGCCGCTAATCGCCGGGACATAGCCGGTAACGACCGGCTGTGACCCGGCGACTGACATCCTCGGCTGTGATCGGCGGGACGGGTAGGGCGGCGGTGCACCTCGAGCACATCCCCTACCTGTTTTGAAAACACACGTTTTAAAACGTGGTTTTGCCCAGCCGTGCTGCCCTGCCACCGTATTTCTACAGTGGCTGGGCGGCATGTGGTTAAACTGAGAAAATTGACCATTTTAAGAAAAAAATAAGGTCATTTTGAAATTGATGGAGGCAACACGTCTCAAAAATAGGTTGAGCCAGGGCCATATTTACCACAGTGTAGCATCCCCTCTTCAGGGAAGTGAGGAGACAAGTTGCTGGAGTTTTTGGAGAGGAATGTTGCCCCATTTTTTCCTGATACAGGATTCTAACTGCTCAAGACCATTGGGATGCCCAACGAGTCAGGCACAAGGATAAAAAGTGAGTGTTATCCTGCAGATGACTTTCCAAGCCTCTTACCATATTTTCAATCCGCTTATGCCAAATGGGTCCAACAAACTGTCAAAGTCACCAACTATGTGTCTTCTTCTTTATTCATCTTTGCTTCCCAAATATTTTTACCTCATCACGTGAAACCCAAAAGAATGTCATATAGTGTAATATTTTTGTCAGGGTCCTGTCCACGGCAGGAATTCTGAAAGATCTGGCATTTCTGCCAATACTCTACATGGACGCAGAAGGACACATCAGCCTCAGGCTGGTGCCAGATGGCCTTTATAAGGAGGTTCATCACTTCCTCTGGTTGCTGGATGATCTCTAGCTCCCCGTGCCCTGTTCCTGTTTCCTGTGATTCTGACTTGTGATTTCCTGTTACCGACTCGGCTTGGTCCTGGACCTGTCTACTCTGATTTACCCCTGATCTGACCTCGGCTTGGCTTACGGATACTCTCTATCTCCCGCTCCTCTGTGAATGACCTCAGCTATCCCATCTGACTTCATCTGCTCTGATTCCCACCTGGTACCTGACCTTGGCTTGAACTGACTACCCAGTAAACATCCAAATCCCGGAAGGGCTTGCTTACCACGCACAGGCACCTCCATCTGCAGACCTATCTCCGTGCACCAGCTGTGCTTCTGAGTGGACCACCAACCAGCACTCCTACAGGCGACCTGTGCAACTTTGGGCCTGACTCCCGCTGTCTCACTCTCTGGGGAGTCCGGAACTTAGCCGCAAGGGAAGCTCCCTCTCTCCTTTGGCCTCCATCACCAGGTGCGTGATAATTTTTATAAATATATGGAAACAAACATATCTATATGTTGCTCACATGTAAATGTACCAACATCAGTACACCACCAGTGATAAACTGCTCCACCGACAACTTGCGGACAATGTTTAATGGCATACACCATCTAAGACAACAGCATGGCTTCATAGTAGAAGAGTCCGGGGGCTTAACTGGCCTACCTGCAGTCCAGACCTTTGACCAATTCAAAATATATGGCACATTCCAGGAATAATTTAAGAGTCCACCAGCGCACAAGTGCCACCCAGATGCTTCCAAGCAGCTGAACCGACCACAAGGCTTCCAGGCTTTATTTGTCAAAGCTTAACTGAACAAGCTGAAGTTAGTAGCTGATTGGCTACCATGCAGAGCTGCACCAGATTTTGCTCCAGTTTTAGTAAATCAACCCCACAGTTAGTGATTATGACACTTTATTTGACCCATTTGGCACAGATGGATTGGAAATCTCGTAAGAGGCTTGGAAAGTCATCTGCAGGATAACACTCACCGTTTACAATTGTTTCTGAAGTGTGGAATATTCTCTTGAGTTTTTGAACTGAGTACGTCAGGAGGCCTCGTGGTCTGTTTAGCTGCTTAGGAGCCTCTGGGTGGCACTGGTGGACTCTTCTACTATGAAGCCATGCTGTTGTCATAGATGAAGTATGCGGTTTAGCATTGTCCTGCTGAAATATGCAAGGCCTTCCCTGAGAAAGACGTCATCTGGATGGAAGCATATGCTGCTCTAAAGACTGGATATATCTTACAGCATTGATGGTGCCTTTGCAGATGTGCAAGCTGTCCATTCCATATGCAAAAGTGCCCCCCCAAACCATCAGATATTCTGGCTTTTCAGCTGAGCGCTGATAACAAGCCAAAAAGTCCCTCTCCTCATTAGTCTGGAGGACGCGCCGCCCATGGTTGCCCTCTGTGGTTAGATGAACTTCGATTCATTTGACCACAGAGCAGTTTTCCACTTTGCAACAGACCATTTTAAATGAGCTTTGGCCTAGAGAAGATAGAGGTGTTTCTGGATCATGTTCGGATAAGGCTTCTTCTTTGAATGATAGAGCTTTACCTAGTATTTTTGGATGGCACGGCGACCTGTGTTCAGACAGTGATTTTTTTCCTGAGCCCATGCAGCGATGTCCATCACACAATCATGCCTGTATTTAATGCAGTATCGTCTGAGGGCCACCATCCAATATTGGGTTTCGGCCTTGTCCCTTGTACAGAGATTTCTCCAAATTCTCAGAATCTTTTGATGATATTATGTACTGTAGATAATGAGATATGTAAAGTATTTGCAATTTACTGATCAGGAACATTATTCTGAAATTAATCAATAATCCCTTGATGCAGATTGGTGAACCTCTGCCCATCTTTACTTTTGAGACACTCTGACTCTCTAAGATTCTCACACAATCATGCCTGTATTTAATGCAGTGGCATCTGAGGACCCCAAAGATCACCGCCATCCAATATTGGGTTACGGCCTTGTCACTTGTACAGAGATTTCTCCAAATTCTCAGAATCCTTTGATATTATGTACTGTAGATAATGATATATGTAAAGTATTTGCAATTTAATGATCAGGAACATTATTCTGAAATTAATCAATAATCCCTTGATGCAGATTGGTGATCCTCTGCCCATCTTTACTTTTGAGACACTCTGACTCTCTAAGATTCTCACACAATCATGCCTGTATTTAATGCAGTGGCATCTGAGGACCCCAAAGATCACTGCCATCCAATATTGGGTTACGGCCTTGTCCCTTGTACAGAGATTTCTCCAAATTCTCAGAATCCTTTGATATTATGTACTGTAGATAATGATATATGTAAAGTCTTTTCAATTTAATGATCAGGAACATTATTCTGAAATTATTCAATAATCCCTTGATGCAGATTGGTGAACCTCTGCCCATCTTTACTTTTGAAACACTCTGACTCTCTAAGATGCTCTTTTCATACAGAATCATGTTAATAATCTGTTGCCAATTCACCTAATTAGTTGTGAAATGTTCTTCCAGTTTCCTTGTTAGTACCACTTTCTTTGCCAGCTTTAAGTTGCCCTGTCCAAACGTTTTTGAGACGTGTTGGTGTCATCCATTTCAAAATCACTGAATTTGTTTTCTCTTAAAATGGTCCATTTTCTCAGTTTAAACATTTGATATGTTTCCTATTTTCTATTGTGAATAAAACCCTAGTTTATGAGATTTGCAAATCATTGCATTCT